TCGAGCCGCCCCCCCCCTCGGCCAGGTGCTCGCCGACCTCGGCGCGGCGGCCCCCGCGTCCGACGGCAAGGGGGCGGCGGCGCTGCAGGCCGCCTTCACCGCGCAGGTCCGCGCCGTGTCGGAGTGCACGTCCTCACTGAAAGGCCAGCCCGCGCGGGGGGAGGATGCTGGGCGGGGCGGGGCTCGAGCGAAGCGAGGAGGAGGAGGAGGAGGAGGATGAGGAGGAGGATGAGGAGGAGGAGGGAGGAGAGGAGGGGGGAGGAAGGAGGAGGAGGAGGAGGAGGGAGCGAGGACGAGGAGGAGGAGGAGGAGAAGCAGGAGCAGGAAGAGGAGGAGGGAGGAGGAGCAGGAGAAGCAGGAGTAGGAGGAGGAGGAGGAGGTGGAGCGAGGAGGAAGGGGAGGAGGAGGAGGAGGAGGAAGGAGAGGAGGAGGAGGGGGAGGAGGAGGAGGAGGAGGAAGGAGAGGAGGAGGAGGAGGAGGAGGAGGAGGAGGAGGAGGAGGAGGAGGAGGAGGAGGAGGATCGGCCTCCGCCTCCGTCCCCCCCGTGGGGCCTCTGCAGATGGCCTGCGCACAGGGCGGTGTTTTTTTGGGCGATCTCGTGGGCCGTTCTTCGCTTCGATTCGTCTCGCAGCAAAGGCAGAACGAAGACACATCGAAGGAACACGAATACAACACGAAAACGACCCGTGGTGTTCCGAGGTGTCCCGTGTCGGGGGAGTGTCCCGAGCTATGTTATACGGTGTATTGCGTTACGATAGCGATAGTGATATCGATATCGATATCGACAGTGAGATCCATCGGGTAACATCGAACGTGAGATCGATCGTAAGATCGATCGAGATATTGATCGTGATAGCGGTAGTGAGGGCGATTGAGTGAGATAGATAGTGAGGTCGATAGTGAGATCGATAGCGAGACCGTTGGTGATATCGATGTTGAAATTGATAGTGAAATCGATCGAGTCAGAACGACCGTGTGTTCGATAGTGATATCGGTTGAGTGACATGACGGCGCCGCCGACACCGACTACGACGACACCGACGACGTCTCCAACGACTTCGACGACGACAACGACGACGACGACGACACCGACGACGACGACGACACCGACGACGACGACGACGACGCCGACGACGACGATGACGACGACGACGCCGACGACGACGACGACAACGACGTCGCCAACGAAGACGACGACGAAGGAGGAGGGAGGACGACGACGGCGACAACGACGACAACGACGACAACGACGAGGAAGGAAGGACGGCGACGACGCGAACGACGAAGAAGGAGGAAGGACGGCGACGCCGACGACAACAACGACGAGGGAGGAGGGAAGACGACGACGACGACGACAACGACGACGACGACGACGACGGCGACGAAATAGGAGGGACGACGACGAGACGCCGACGATTGGCGACGACGACGACGAGGGAGGAGCAGGAAGGACGACCACGGCGACAACGACGACGGACACGACCACGACGCCAAAGAGGACGACGACGACGAACACGAGGAAAGACAGAGGACGACGTAGGCGACGACGACGACGACGCGGGAGGAGGGAGGACGGCGACGACGACGACGACGACGACGCAGAAGCGCGCGCGCACGCTTTTGTTGAAAGTCCGTGTTGCGAAACCCTGTGTTTTTGAAGGTTTTTTGGGCACACGATTTTGAAATCCTTCCGAAACCGATGGGTTTCGAAGGATTTCGGCATACGCGCGCGACGATGCGCGCGTCTGCACTTCGTCCCATTTTTTGCATAGGATTCTCGCGACGGCACACGCGCAAGGGCGTTCGACAGATTTCGTCATGCGCGCGCGAAGCCCGTTTGGGAGCATTTTGTGAAAATCTTGAAAGACCTACGGTTTTCTGAAGATTTCGCAAGAGCTCGCGCGGAAGCTTTTTAAGCAAAACAATGTGGCGAAACCCTGTGTTTTTGTATGTTTTTTGGGAAACTCGATTGCGGAATCCTTCCGGCACCGAAGGTTTTGGAAGGATTCCGGCATGCGCGCGCGACGACGCGCGCGTGTGCGTTTCGTCACATTTTTTGCAAGGGATTTTTGAAAAAGTGTTATGTTAGAACAAACAATGTCACCGCATAGTGTTTTTTTACAAGGGAACCTCAGGGGGGGGGAACACGGTCGGCCTGGGACATTGTGATTTCATATTAGGATGGACATGTGGTCATAATCATATTTGATTCACGTACCCGAAAGGGGTAGCGATAACTCCGGGGGGGGTAGAGTCTGTTCTCTTTTTAGAAAGGAGAATCGATCGTGAGATCGATTGTGAGACTGGTAGTGAGATCGATAGTAGGATCGATAGTGAGATCGATGGTGACATCGATACTGGGATTTATCGTGGGATCGGCAGTGTGATCGATTGTGCGATCGATACTCAGAGCAATCGTGAGATCTAGTGTGGGATCGATAGCGAGATCGATCATGAGATCGATAGTGGTATCGATAGTTTGAACGATCGTGAGATCGATAGTGAGATCGATAGTGGGGCTGATAGTGAGGCTGATAATGATATCGATAGTGATATCGATTGGGTGCGATAGATGGTGAGATCGATTGTGAGATCGATTGTACGATCGACCGGGAACCCAGGAACCCTGGAACCAGAAACTGGACCCACAGGAACCCCGCCGCCTACCGACACCGGTCCAGAACCAGCAACCAGGACTCGGGAACCTGGAAACGGGAACCCTGGAACACTGTCGCCTACAGGAGTCGGCCAGCAATTGTCGCACGATTTTTCGATCTCCGCTGGTTGGGGAACACTGGAGTTCCCTTCCACTTTCAATGCCTCTTGGTCGTCCCCTCTCCCGGTTTACAGATCCTAACCGCTTCGCGTATCACCGCCAGCCTGGACCCTTTGCTGGAGCTGGCTGGCGGCTGGCGCGTGCGGGGCGCCGGCTTTTTTGGGGCTCTTTTTTGTTTGTTCGTTTCTCTACCTCGTGATGGCTGCAAGGGTTCACGTCGGCTGGGTCCGGACGGGACATGCTGTTGACCCCGCCAGGGCGACCTCTCGCTCAAGGCGTTCTTGGTCTCCCTGGCGAAGTTCTTGCGGGCCAATGGCTGCATCGCTGGCCGCCCGCCGCTCCGCGCTCGGGCTACCCGATGGGTGACGCTCTCTTGCACGGCTTCGTCGTGCCGGTCATTCTACTGCCTCCAGGTCTTGGCGCGCGGGGAGCTCGGGCGGCTGGTCGCGTCGCTGTTCGCTTCCTTACGTTTCCGTCCTGCGGCACTTGGTCGTCTACATCCACGCGAAGGGGTTCGCGCCTGGTGACGCCCTCGTGCCCGTCTACGGCGTGCGGATTCTTCTTCCATTCTGGCTGCGTGGTGCTGGATATCGCCCGAGGCCTCAAGGTCGTTTACCTTCGGCTCGGTCCTCCTCCCATGTCCCACCTGTTCGGCCTGGTCCTCTCCTCAAGTCCCACCTGTACGGTAAGTTTGGCGCTCTGGCTCGCCGCCCCCGCCACCCTGGGTAAATGCGGCGTCCGCCTCGCTTTCGCATACATGGACTGCTTGTTCGACAAGGTTGCCTGTGGTACGGATGGGCCTCGCGCCGCGGCCATCCTAGAGCTGCGTTGGCCCATCCACTGTCGCTTCTGGGCTTGCTTGGCTGCCTGCCCAGCACCACATCGTGGTCCTGGTTCAGCTCCGCCCCTTCCGCGTCATTTTGGCCGCCCCGCGTGCTCGCCGTCGTGTTTTCTCTCGCAGGTGGCATAGCCTGCCCTTGCGTGCCCGGCGTCTGACTCGCATCGTGCGCCGGCGTACCAAAAAGTATCCCCGCCAACACATCCAGCAATGATGAGTTTTTTTGATCATGCAAGTTGGCGGGGCATGCAGTGGAACAGTGGTTTTTGGAAGTTGTCGAACCGAATGTTTGGGATGGGTGGCCGCTACGTTTGGATAAAATGGTGAGTCCGTCTGGTGGCAGCCTCGTGGGGACCTGTTGGGGGTCAGGGTCGGTTCTGGTGCAGGAAGTGTCGAGTCGGGGGTCCCAAGAGCAGAGGTCCCGGGACGGTGGGGGCGTCCATCCGGCGATGGGGGCCCCGTAGGGACCTGGCAGGGGGTCGGGGTCGGCTCTTGGCCAGGAGTTGTCGTGTGAGGGGTTCCTCCTCCTTCTCCTCCTCATTTTTCCTCCTCCTCCTCCTCCTCCTCCTCCTTCTCATCCTCCTTCTCTCCCTGCTCCTCCTTCTCCTCCTGTTCCTCCTCCTTTACCTCCTCCTCCTCTTCCTCCTCCTGCTCCTTCCCCTCTTCCTCCTCCTTCTGATTTGTTCTCCGAACAGTGACGCTTCTACTGTAGCGATCGCTGGTCTGTTCGCTCAAGCTCTTCCCCATATGATGCCTGTGGTACCTCCTTGGACAGTCGGCGTGGCCGCCCAGCTGGCGCATGGGGTGTTCTCTTGGTTGAGTCAGGCGCCAGCTGCTCCGCCTTTTCCGAGCTGCCTGGGCTGCCAGTGCGCGTGCCCGGCGGTGCCCGTTTGCCCTGCGAGTCTTGGGGCGCCCGAAACGTGCATCGTGCCGCCCGTCGAGACGCCGAGGGTTGGGCCCGCCGCCCCGTCGGTCGCGGCGGCCTGGCTCACGACCCTGCTGGCCCGTATGATCGGCCTCGCCCTCGGGGAGATCAGCCGTCCTGCAGATGGCTGCTGCAGCTGCCGCGGGCGCGCCCCACCTGCCCGAGGCGAAGCAGCATATGGCCTACCTGATGTGCGCGGTGGTGGGCCCCCCGCTTTGGCACCAGCGCTGACTGATGGGCCCAGTGGTGTCTTGTCCGACTGGCGCAATTCTCGCGTCGACCGTCCGGTCTAGCGGGAGGTGGTCGACGGGTTGTCGGCGGACATGAGCGCAGTGCGAAGGGCCGACGGGCGCGCGCCCAGGCCGCCAGGCGTTGAGAGGGACTACCGCTTCGGCGCGGCGCCGACGCCGGCGGACGTGGCCGCCTCTGTGATGCCGAAAACAATTTATGGTGAGTTATGTTCTGTTATGTTCATTTGCGCCGATTCAAACTAAGTTAGCTTTCGCGGAATTACAGTGGCCTGAAGTTCGTCACTACCAGTAAATGTCAGCGAAACATAACATAGATATAGCATAGACTCTCCTAGTTTAATTAACGGGTGCAT